GCATTCAGCAAATACGCATTTATATCATTTAAACAAATCTTTGAACGGCTAATGAAAATTAAATTTCACAGATCTTGCAGACTTAGTCGAATCCAGTTGTGAGATCTTGTGAAGATCAATGCTTTAATCATTAAATTCATGATTTCAGAAGCCTGTCTAATAATCAGATAAAAGTTCTGTTAAACAAAGGAATTAAAATGTATACAAAAAAGTAATAGTTAAAAAAAAAAGTAATTTTATATTATTAGTAATAGAAAGGCAAACATTATAATACTTTATCGTTTGCTGTCAGCATTCACCAAATACGCATTTATATAATTTAAACAAATCTTTGAATGACTAATGAACATTTAATTTCACAAACCTTGCAAACTTAGTCGGATCCAGTTGTGAGATCTTGTGAAGTGTGCATGTGACCTGCATGATCTCTGCGTGACTTTCGGTCCGTGCAGATTGAATGCTTTAAGCATTAAATTCATGATTTCAAATTATGCTGCGCTTTATGCATTTGCACATTGCCATATTCATGTAATTTTCACTGTGTGCTGTATGTAAAATTAGTGTTACCTTGGCTTTATTTGAAAAAAATATGATTCCCAATGCACACAAACTTCCCAGAATACTGAGTGCTCTGTTGGTTACAGTGTTTACCTTTTTAATTATATTTGTATTAAATATTTATTTATTTGTGGAAAATACTTTGTCATCTGAAGTATAAGTATGTTTATTTTACAAATGTATTTTTTAATCCATTTTCAAATGATTTCAAATTTCTTAAATATTAATTAAATTAAATACATTTATATCGGCCATCGGCCACCCTGCTTTCCAAGATATCGGCATCGGCTATCAAAGAAACCATATCGGTCGACCACTAGCTGAGTGAAACATGGTGGACACAGATAAAGCTAATTAAAATGGTAAATTTAACACTAGTTAAAGTAGACATTTCTACTGACACTGCAACAGTCGTGATATGATGTCACACTCTGAGGCATGTTTACATATACAACAAATAATACTCATTCCAAAATGTAAAAATAAATAATCAAATCCACTTTACTGCAAAAGTTTGTGTTCTTCACAGCGAAATTCATTCGAGTCCCACATTCACATGCACATGAATGAAAGTCAATGGAAGGAAAAATCTTGTGTGAGAGGCCCGTAATAATTAAAACGTTTTCAGTAAAATAAATTAAACATCAGTTTGAAATTTGGTGTCAAAAATATGGCTGTATTGTATTATGTTAATATCACATTAGATGATTGTGTCATTGTAGAAGATTTTTATTTTATTTTTATATGGTCATGTATTTAACTGTGTGCTCAAATATGATGAGCTGCTATTAAGAGAAAACAAGTGGTGATCTTGTGCTGACATGAACTGAGACCTCTTTGTGTTACTATTAAGCTAACATGAGGAAATATAGACTAGCCATAGTGGCCTGAATAATATGTATTGTTTATGGAAACCTATAATAAAGACTGCAGACCTTGAGCTGTCTGTCTACATTATTAACAGTTTCACCCTTGATATCCAGTATCATATATACAGTACATCTCAAAGGGTTTGTTTTAGTCAGTTTGATGTTCCATTCACACCATGAGGCTTCATGAAATCAAAACAATAACTATGAACTTTAAACAACATTAGTTTTTACAGAAAAAACTGAATTGATTAGCTACTGTCTCAATCTCACCACAGCTTTACGCAACCAGCGGAAATCCGTGTAATCTTTGTTACTTTTGTGTGATTATGTTGATTAGCCTATAGAGGTTTTTTCTTAATAAACCGTATTTGCCGTGTCTTTCATCATCTGCTGTTGGCGGTTGATGACGTCCCTTCATTCAGTTAGCGTCGAGTCTCCTGCGGTGAGGCGAGCATTTCACAGTATTTCTCATATTTACACAACTATCAGAACACACTGTATACAGTTTGATTAAGCAACATTTTACAGGCTCATTTCTGTATTGTTTTCATCGGGTTCAACGTCTTTTTTGGCGTCTTCCTACTGAAATAAACATTTATTGCAGCAAATATGTAATATTTGGACACTTTATTTTAAGGTTCAATTCTCGCCATTAACAAACCATTAACTATGACTTTTGCCTCAAACTCCTAATTTGCTGCTTATTAATTGTTAGTAAGGTAGTTGTTAACTTCAGTTATTGGTTACGATTAGGGATGTAGAATATGGTCATGCAGAGTATGTGCTTTATAAGTACTAATAAACAGCCAATATGTTAATAATAGGCATGTAGTAAGCACATAGTTAATAGTGAGAATTGGTCCCTATATAAAAGTGTTACTGAATATTTGTATTAATCAGAATATAAATGAAGTATAATCAATGGGATTATAGCCTTTCATGTGAACAAGTTATTTTACTATTATACTCATAATGCATCAGTCTGAATGCCCTTACAGACAGACTGTAAGGGAAAGGAGTGTGTGAAGCTCCTTGTCACCTGTTCACATTTTAAAATAAAAGACCGCAGATAGTGACATGTAAGGAATGCTTTTGGAGTAGATGGTATGTATATATAGGAACATGAGGCCAGACTCGACAGATGCTCTGCAGACCGACTCAGCACCTCAAGACTTTGAAAGTGGTTTTTCACAGAGCCAGAGGAAATCTACAACACCGGCAGTGAGTATGTAATAAAAATAGCGTTTAAAGGGGTCATATAATGCTGCTAAAAAGAACATTATTTGGTGTAATGAAATGTTTATGCGGTTTAAAGTTCAAAA